ACAGGGACAACCCCACTCCAGGTCAGGCATTTCTCCAGGTGACACCCCCCAGGTGACAGTCCTCTATCTAACAGGGACAACCCCACTCCAGGTCAGGCATTTCCTCCAGGTGTCACCCCCCAGGTGACAGTCCTCTATCTAACAGGGACAACCTGACTCCAGGTCAGGCATTTCTTCAGGTGTCACCCCCCAGGTGACAGTCCTCTATCTCACAGGGACAACCCCACTCCAGGTCAGGCATTTCTCCAGGTGTCACCCTTCCCAGGTGACAGTCCTCTATCTAACAGGGACAAACTCACTCCAGGTCAGGAATTTCTTCAGGTGTCACCCCCCAGGTGACAGTCCTCTATCTCACAGGGACAACCTCACTCCAGGTCAGGCATTTCCTCCAGGTGTCATCCCCCTAGGTGACAGTCCTCTATCTCACAGGGACAACCCCACTCCAGGTCAGGCATTGTTCCAGGTGACACCCCCTAGGTGACAGTCCTCTATCTAACAGGGACAACCCCACTCCAGGTCAGGCATTTCTCCGGGTGACACCCCCCCAGGTGACAGTCCTCTATCTAACAGGGACAACCCCACCCAGGTCAGGCATTTCTCCAGGTGACACCCCCCAGGTGACAGTCCTCTATCTCACAGGGACAACTTCACTCCAGGTCAGGTATTTCTCCAGGTGAGGTGACAGTCCTCTATCTAACAGGGATAACCTCACTCCAGGTCAGGCATTTCCTCCAGGTGCCAGCCCCCCAGGTGACAGTCCTCTATCTAACAGGGACAACCCAACTCCAGGTCAGGCATTTCCTCCAGGTGTCACCCCCCCAGGTGACAGTCCCCTATCTAACAGGGGCAACCCCACTCCAGGTCAGGCATTTCTCCAGGTGACACCCCCCAGGTGACAGTCCTATATCTCACAGGGACAACTTCACTCCAGGTCAGGTATTTCTCCAGGTGATACCCCCCAGGTGACAGTCCTCTATCTCACAGGGACAACCCCACTCCAGGTCAGGCATTTCTCCAAGTGTCACCCCTCCCAGGTGACAGTCCTCTATCTCACAGGGACAACCTCACTCCAGGTCAGGCATTTCCTCCAGGTGTCACCCCCCCAGGCATTTCCTCCAGGTGTCACCCCCCCCAGGTGACAGTCCTCTATCTAACAGGGACAACCCCACTCCAGGTCAGGCATTTCTCCAGGTGTCACCCCCCCAGGTGACAGTCCTCTATCTAACAGGGACAACCTCACTCCAGGTCAGGCATTTCCTCCAGGTGTCACCCCCCCAGGTGACAGTCCTCTATCTCACAGGGACAACCTCACTCCAGGTCAGGCATTTCTCCAGGTGACACCCCCCCCAGGTGACAGTCCTCTAACAGGGACAATCCCACTCCAGGTCAGGCATTTCTTCAGGTGTCACCCCCCCAGGTGACAGTCCTCTATCTCACAGGGACAACCCCACTCCAGGTCAGGCATTTCCTCCAGGTGTCACCCCCCCCAGGTGACAGTCCTCTATCTAACAGGGACAACCCCACTCCAGGTCAGGCATTTCTCCAGGTGTCACCCCTCCCAGGTGACAGTCCTCTATCTAACAGGGACAACCCCACTCCAGGTCAGGCATTTCTCCAGGTGACACCCCCCAGGTGACAGTCCTCTATCTAACAGGGACAACCCCACTCCAGGTCAGGCATTTCCTCCAGGTGTCACCCCCCAGGTGACAGTCCTCTATCTCACATGGACAACCTCACTCAAGGTGAGGCATTTCTTCAGGTGTCACCCCCCAGGTGACAGTCCTCTATCTAACAGGGACAACCCCACTCCAGGTCAGGCATTTCTCCAGGTGTCACCCCCCCCAGGTGACAGTCCTCTATCTAACAGGGACAATCCCACCCCAGGTCAGGCATTTCTCCAGGTGTCATCCCCAGGTGACAGTCCTCTATCTAACAGGGACAACCTCACTCCTGGTCAGACATTTTTCTAGGTGACACCCCCCAGGTGACAGTCCTCTATCTCACAGGGACAACCTCACTCCAGGTCAGGCATTTCTCCAGGTGACACCCCCCAGGTGACAGTCCTCTCTCTCACAGGGACAATCCCACTCCAGGTCAGGCATTTCTCCGGGTGACACCCCCCAGGTGACAGTCCTCTATCTAACAGGGACAACCCCACTCCAGGTCAGGCATTTCTCCAGGTGTCACCCCTACCCAGGTGACAGTCCTCTATCTAACAGTGACAACCCCACTCCAGGTCAGGTATTTACTCCAGGTGTCACCCCTCCCCAGGTGACAGTCCTGTATCTAACAGGGACAACCCCACTCCAGGTCAGGCATTTCTCCAGGTGTCACCCCTACTCAGGTGACAGTCCTCTAACAGGGACAACCCCACTTCACGTCAGGCATTTCCTCCAGGTGTCACCCCCCAGGTGACAGTCCTCTAACAGTGACAACTCTACTCCTTCGGGTCCCAGGTCTGTTGCTGCCTCCTTGGGGGTCCCCACTTGCTGCCTGGCCCCCTCCCCAGGGCACAGCCTCCCCCCTTTCCAGACATCAGTGAGCCCAAACTGAAGAAGGCCTGAGGCGGACCTGGCCATGCAGCCCTTCAGCCACCCCTCCAGCCTCAGGGTCCAGGAAAAGGAAAAACTCGAGCCCAGCCCCCACCCCCAGTGACCCCTGGGCTCCCAGGGCTTCCTTCTGGGGGCGCCCCACCCCCCACCCAGGTGTCTGTTTACCAGTGTGCTGGCCCTGAGCCAGGAACTGCACCACTCACCACCCAGTAGCCACTGCCCTGACTCAGGCCAGCAGGGGAGCAGAGCTACGGGCACTTACTTATCCCCAACCGTGTGGGAAGTTGGGCAGAAGGCGGCACAGCCTGCAAGGGAGACGGGAGCCCCGAGCCCCCACAGCCTCCGCTCCCCAAGCCTGAGTGCAGACCCTTGCAGCAGTGGGGGCCTGCTTTGTTGTGACCCCCATCCAACCGGCCTCCGCTGAGGCCAGCCTCCCAGGCCCCTCTCCCCAGGAAGGGGCTGCATTCCCCAGGAAGACGCTGGCAGGCCCAGGTCAGTGGGGACTCCCAGAAGGAAGGTGGACCACCCCACTCTCCATCGGGCAGTGAGGAGGGGGACGGAGGGTCAGGCACACCCCAATCATAATTACCTTCAAAGTCTCCCAGGGCTCCTTGGCTGCCCGGAACAAGGGTCTTGGTCCCCTTGCTCAGGGCTGTGTCCGCAGTGTCCAGCACCAAGGCCTGGCCCACAAAAGGTTCCCGGTAAATATTTGAGGAATCAACAGACACTGACCAGGCCGGGCGCGGTGGCTCTCGCCTGTAATCCCAGTACTCTGGGAGGCCGAGGCAGGTGGATCACTCAAAGTCAGGAGTTCGAAACCAGCCTCAGCAAGAGCGAGACCCTGTCTCTACTAAAAATAGAAATTAATTGGACAACTAATAATATATAGAAAAAATTAGCGGGGCATGGTGGCGCATGCCTGTAGTCCCAGCTACTCGGGAGGCTGAGGCAGGAGCATTGCTTGAGTCCAGGAGTTTGAGGTTGCTGTGAGATAGGCTGATGCCACCGCACTCACTCTAGCCGGTGTAACAGAGTGAGACAAAAATACAGTGACTGCACCTGTCCTCTGAGCCTCACCCCTCCAACCTCGGCCTCCCAAGGGGGAGGCCTGGGCCTCCCTGCCCGAGTTGCTGTGTCCCTCCCGCCTGGAGGCCCCTGCACCAGAGCTGCCTCCTCAACCGGCCCCTGCCGCGGTCGCCCCCTGGGCTGGTCCGACTGCCCCTGCTCCGCGCGTCCAGCGACACGTGCCCAGCGTGTAATTACCTACGTTTTCCTCCTGCCCCGGACTCCGGGCGTCCCCCACCCGGCGGTTGGGTTCCCGCAGTGGCCGTCGGAGGCGGACACCGGACCGCCTGGACAGGGGGCGTAGGGTGGGCGCGCGGGGGCTCCTCACTGGAAGCGTCGAGGGCCTCTGGGGGTCCAGGTCCCCCGGCTCGTGCCTCCGCCCTGGCGTGGGGGCCGGGCGCGGTGGCTCACACCTGTAATCCTAGCACTCTGGGAGGCCGAGGCAGGAGGCCAGCGCTGCGCCGGAGACGCCCGTGGGTTCCGGGCGCCCCCCGGAGTTCACCAGATGTGTGACCCGAGGCAAACCGTGTCGCCCCTGAGCTTCAGTTTCCTCCTGAGTGGAGATTGGGGCTCCCAGCGCCGGGGTCTTGGAGCGGGCGAGCGCGGACGCTGCAGGTCGGGGCCCCGCCGCCCCGCTCGCACCACCGGCCTGCCCGGCAGGCTCTCCGCGGGCGGCGCCGCGCGAACAAAGGCGCGGAGGGAGGGAGCCGGCGGTGGGCGCCGGGCGAGCGGGGGACCCCGGGCCCGGTCTGCAGGACCGTCGGGGCTCTGGGCGCGGCGAGGCAGGGGGGTCCCGGGTGACGCAGGGCCCTGAGGCCGGGAAGGCTTCCTGGAGGTGGCGTCCCGGAGCACGGCCGCCGGCCCGCCGGGTCTTTGGCACGGGACGGGGCGCCGCATGGCTCCTTTAAGAGCCCGTCCGGGGCGAGGGCGCGGGGCGAGGGCGCCGGGCGGCGGCGAGACCCACCCCCCGCCCCCCGCGGCCGCCGCCTCTAATCTCCACCCGCAGCTCAGGCTCCGGCTGACGTCACCTGCCCCCGAGCCGCGCGCGCTGATTGGCTGCAGGTGACGTCAGGGGCTTTTTTCGCCCGGCATGACCTCATCCCCGCCGGCGGCCCCGCCCTCCGCCCCGGGCCTGTCACTCGCGGCCGAGCGCGGTGGCCGAGCCGGCTCCGCGGCCGCCCCGCGGACGCCTGGACGCCGAGCCTGAGCCACCCGCGCGGAGCCGCCCGGCCGCGCCCGCCGAGCCGCGGGCTGGATGCGCGTGCGACGCGCGTGCCGCCCGCAGTGCGCGCCCCGGCCCGAGCGAGCGCTCCCGCGGCGGCGGCGGCGACGGCGCAGGCGACGCGGCCGCGCGCTCCCCGGCCTGCCCGGCAGCGCGGCGCTGGGCCGATGGCTGCGCGGCGGAGCGGGCGCCTGAGCGCGGCGCGGGTCCCCGGAGCGCCCGGACGCGAGCGTGAGCGCGGTGACGGAGGCGCGGTGGCGGGGGCGCCGCGGTCGCCGGCGGGCGGCTTCACCGGCGCGCCCGGGGGCGCTTGACGCCCGTCTGGCGCCCGGGAGGAGGCGGCGGCTCGGGAGGTGAGCGGGCCCTGAGCGGCTGCTGGGACGCCAGGCCGGGAAGCCCTTTCCCCTCCGCAGCGCCCGGCGGACCCGGTGCAGCCCACACGCGGTGGCCGCTGTGCAGCCTTCGCCCCGCAATTCCTTCGTATGGAGGCGGAGGACGAAATTCAAGGACCCAGAAGGGCCATTGAGATCCAGCGTGGATCCGCCCGAGCCCGCCCCAGACACCCCCTGCAGCACCCTCGGTGGGGCCGGAGCGGGAGAAGGTCGTCCCTGGCACTGAGCCGGTCGGGGAGACCGGAGGGACGGCCTTTGGCCCGTGGGAGACCCAGGAAAGGTCTCGTCCCGTGCCCGGCGGGGAGGGTGCAGATCCATCCTCCGTCTGGCCAGGCCGCCTGGCACCCCCGCCCCGGGGCGCTCAGCTGGCCCCGCGGAATAAAGGCCATCCCTCTGCCTGCTGCGGAAGCTGCCGCGATGCTGGGGGAGGGGCTGGCACAGCCAAGCGGCCTGCGCCCCTCCTCCCCAGGCCTCTCTGCCCACCTGGGATGGCGAGCACGCCAGGTGGGGGGTACACCTAATAAATAGTCTAGCCTGGAGGAGGGCAACAATAGGCCCAGCCCCCCAGGTCATCCGTTCTGGGAGAACCTGACTTCTGACTCCCGGCTGCAGGGTGTCCTGGTTCAGTGGGGGGAGTCGGCGGCGGAGGCGCTGCAGCGAGAGGGGCTGGGGGACTCTGGGATGGAGGAGGGGTGGCAGGATGTGGAGCCGCGTCTGCAGCATTGCAGCGTTGTGTGTGCGGCTTGGGGTGGGGGTGGGGTGCTGAAGGCCAGGGAAGCCGGGTTCTTCTTGCTCCGTGCGCCCACCTCTGGGGGTCCAAGTACCCCCTCTCTTCCCTCCTTCTCGGCACAGACCAGCTGCAGAAACTCTTGCTCCCAGGGCAGCCCCTGGGGGTGCAGGTAGCATCCAGGGCCCCGGCCCTTGACCAGGAGGACAGTCCCACGTATTCATTTGCTCCTAGCAAGCACCCGACATGGATGGGCAGGTCATGTGCCTGGGAGCTGGGAGTTCATCCTGTAGTCTCACTGACATCTCTCCTGCAGTCAGCCTAGGGCTGGGGGAAGTCACTGGGCAGGTTCTATTCCCTGCTGCCCTCAGCCCTAGGACAGGCTTCTGGGCCCAGGGGCTGCCTCTGGGAACAAAATTCCACGCACGGAGATGCAGAAAGATGCTTAGGGTCGGGTTGTGTCCCGGGAGGCTGGCGTCGGGGCCCAGAGGTTTCAGCTGGGCGCGTGCCTGGAAGGGCACTGGCCAGGGGCTGGGGAGGCCCAGGTGTGCCCCTCGTGGAGAGAGCAGGGAGAGAGGTGGCTAAACCCTGGCCATGGAGACTTCGTGGGCTGAGACCCCTCTCGCTGCCCGGCGTGCCCAGGTGGTCCTTGTGGAAGCTCCAGGCTGTCCCTGCCATGTAGCACGGGGCACAGTGACCAGCAGAAGCCCTTCACATCCGTGGGGCTGGCACCGGCCAGGTGGGGACGCAGGACACGTGGGTAGTGTCAATGTGGGGACTCAGCCCAGACCCCACCCCCTCTCTTCCCACCCACAGCTTCCCCAGGTCAGGGCTGGCTCTGCATGGCCCAGCCAGCAGACCAAAGGTCAGCCAGGGTCCTGTCCTGCTGACCCCGGCGGGGGACAGGGGAGGGGGGTACTGAGGTGGGAGCCCACCCAGGGAGAGCCGTGAAGATGGAGTGTGCTGACCCGTGTGAGCGTGTGAACTCCTGCCTCCTGGAGGTTGCCGGCCACCGTTTCTCTAGAGCGTGTCCCGAGTGGCAGTGGCCCGACTTCTCAGCACCTTGGGCCCCCTCTGCTGCTGGCCTCGCCGCTCTTTCCCAGCGCCACCTAAGTGTGCGAGGGGCCGGGGCACCACCTGGATGGGACAGTGCCGTCCTTTGGGGCCAGCAGTCCTGCCTGCCGCCTCTGCAGGCAGTGTGCCCCAGCCCTAGTTGATGGGCAGAAGGCGACTTGGTGAGGGGGCTGTCATCTGGGGGCTGGGGGTGGGCCCAGCACTCGGGCTGTCCCTGGTCACATATGTGCTCAGGGCCGTGATTGTGCTGTATGGAGGCCCCGCGTGGAAGCCCATGTGTGTGAGGAGACCCTGGAGCTGGCAGGTGGGGTGCAGGGGTCCTGGATTCTAGAGGAATTTGGCAAGCAGAAGGCAAGGACGTGAGCGTGAGTGTGCATGTGCGCATGCGTGTGCATGCTCCAGCACGCGCCCAGTGTCCAGTGCACACGTTTGTGCACACGCATTCACGCGTAACTGCACACAGGAGAGGTGGATTGTGGGTAAGGAGTCGGTGTGCAAAGGGGCGTGTGCCAGCAGGCACAGCCGGCAGCGTGCATGCACATGGCAGCGGCAGCCGGCCGGCTGTGTACCTGGCCCCTGAGGAAGGTGGCTGCCTGCCGGCTCCCCCGAGGGGCGGGGCCTGAGCGAAGCCTCCCGCTGACTTTGGACTCGGAAGCTCGAGGCCCTTTGATGAGGGTGCCTGGGCTCCCCTGGGCCTTGCTCGCCTGCCCAAGCCCCAGGCTCCGGAACAGCAGGGAGTAGAGTTCTCCATCCTGGCTCCCAGGAACGTGGTGTGGACCGAGCTTGGCAGGAGGGCTTGGGTCCGGCGGCATGCACATTTTTGTTTCCTCTGTGTCCTCCTGGCCTGTGCCAGCCCAGCTGGTCTGCTCAAAGCTGTCCTGAGTATCCCACGGCCCACCGCCAGCCCGCCAGTGACAGCCCAATCCATAGCATGGGGGGAGGCCAGAGGTGAGGGGTCTGCCCTTAGGTCCAGGAGACCCAGTGGTTGAGGATGGGTCCCAGGAGGCCAGCACCGGGCACAGGCTTCCCGCAGGAGGGGGTACTCATGCAGACGGGGAGGGGAGCCCCTGAGCTGCATGGGGGGGTGTTGGGACCCGGAGGAGGGTCAGGACCTGGTAGGGCAGGGCGGCTGGGGGTCACTGCTGGCCCTGATCCCGGGCACCGGGTGGCAGGGAGGGAGAGCAAGAGGAGGGCGACCTGCCCACTCTGCTGCGGAGCCTGCTCTCGGCTGCTGCCGCAGGAGCAGCGGTTGCCTGGCACCTCTGCTGTTGCCATGGCTACGTCGGAGGTGCTAACTTGCTAACGAGTCCCCTTTGGCTGCAAATGACAACGCTGCAGTGGTTCCTGGAGCTGAGAGGGTTGCCTGGGAGGCAGGGGCGGGGCCAGGTGCAGGCCCCTCTGCCCACCCCTGCAGCCCCTGCCTCACGCCCACCCCCAGCCCGCCCAGGCTTCTCTTGGGGCGGTGTGAATGCCAGGCCTGGCTTCAGAGGGTGAGGGGCTCCCCGTTTGCTTGCGTTGTTCTAGGTGAGAGGTGACCCATCCCCACGTAACTGAGGGGGGACGTTGCGGCTTCTGCCTGCAGACCCCTGGCCTGCAGCCTCCACGCCTCACTGTGGCCCTTGGGGTCCCGGCCTTGGAGTGGGACTGTTGGTCCTCTGTCCAAGGGCGGGAGGCTCTGCCCAGGCCAGTGGGACCTGGCGGCCTCCCCTCTGCCGCCTTGCACGAGATTCAGTTTAGGACTCTGGAAAAACTGCCCAAAGCAGCCGGAACAGGACTGGCATCGGAGACCCTCTTTTGCAGACAGGCCCTTTTGCTGTTGAACTTGCTTGGTGTGGCCCTAGGGGCAGCCTCCCTGGCCTCACCCCCGGGGCCTCATTCTCCCTGGGGTGGAGAGCGGTGCCCAGGCTGGAGGGGGTGTCTGTGATGGGGTCCCCGGTTCTGTCCCAGCTCCTTGGTGGCAGCTGTGCTGCCTCAGCCTAAGGCTGCCCATCCAGGTGCCGGGGTTTCGAGCATCCCCGGGAGTGGAGGAGGGGGAACGCCTATAGCAGGGTGCTGGGGACAGTGGGCACAGATGCCATTGTGCCCACAAGGAAGGACTGGGCCAGCAGCATCTGGGGAAAGGAGAGCCCACGGCCGGGACTCCCGCGTGGGGTGGGGGTCTCAGCCCTGCCCCTCGGTTTCTGCTCTGTGGACCCGTCGGGCAGCCCCTGCTCCACCAGCCCAGGGGCTGACCTAGGGTGGCGGGGGAGGGGGTTTTCCAGAAGTGGTGGCGGCACTGTTGTCCCCAGCTTTGCTGTCTGTGGGGTGCCAGTGTCCTCAGGGCACCTTCCCCCAGCACCCTCTGTCTCTGTGGTTGTGGGTTGGGCGCCTGGGTAGGGGCCTTTGCCCACTGTGGGCCGGGGGGCCTCCCCCAGCACTGAGCTGGGTGGGGAGGTGAGCCTTGTGGGTGACGACACCCAGGAGCCCCGTCCAGTCTCGTGTGTGACCTTGTGCTGGTCCTATCCCTGCCCTGAGCCTCAGTTTCCCCACATTTAAAGCAAACTCGTCACCATGATGCTGTGTGCCCCTTGGGTCTGTGAGTCTCGGGCGGGCCCAGGGGAAGGCCATTCCTGGTGGGTGGCACAGGAGACGGGGCCTGGTGGGTGGGGTGGCAGGGGCTGGCCACGGAGCCGCAGGAGGGGGCTTCTGAGCCCCCAGACCCCAGGCGCACCTCCAGGCACTCCCTGTGCCCCAGGCCTTTGCAGGCTTCACCGAGGGTCCCAGACACAGGGACCCTCATCCCAGGGCTGCCCCCACTCAACCTGTCCCGGTCCCACCCCGCTCTGAGGGCGACACGTCCCCCTGCAGGGGCTGGGCCCGTGCCCCCTTGGGCAGTGGGCTGTCAGGGCCCTAAACCTCGGCCCGCAGAGCTAGGACAATGGCAGGAACAAAGGAGCCCCCAGCCTGCCTGTCCGCCCGCCTCTGGAAAGTGCCCACATCTGCAGATTATCGGTTTACAGGGTGGCCCCGGAACTTCGGCTCCGAGGATCGGGCTCCCCGGGGTTGAGCCGGGAGGGGAGGGGCACGTGCTGGACCCCTGGCCTCCTGGGCTCCGGGTGGTTGGGGAGATGCAGAGGCCAGAGGGGGAAGAGGCGTGCACCCTGGGGCTGGGATGGAATGTTCTGGAATGCGTGGCTGTGCTGTGCCCAGGGCCCTGAGGACGGGCCCTCTGGGTGCCCCGTTGGCCTCCCCTGCCCTGCCGTGTCCGCGGGAGCTGGCACTGGCCGGGGAACAGGGTCTCTCCTTGGGCTCTTGCAACCCGATGAGACTTTGATCCCTCCGAGGGCGGAATCTCGAGCCCCACCGGCCAGGTGTGCTCTGGGGCCAGCGGCCCTGCTGACGCCCTCCTCTCCCGCAGGTGTGGCGCCATGTGCTAGGCAACGCTGAGCGGAAGGCCACGCCCCAGGCCGCCAGAGCAGTCCCCCCTCGTGTCCTCAGGGGTCACCCCACTGCCCAGGCCCCCGCCATGGCCGGGGACCGGCTCCCGAGGAAGGTGATGGACGCCAAGAAGTTGGCCAGCCTGCTGCGGGGAGGGCCCGGGGGCCCGCTGGTGATCGACAGCCGCTCCTTCGTGGAGTACAACAGCTGGCACGTGCTCAGCTCCGTCAACATCTGCTGCTCCAAGCTGGTGAAGCGGCGGCTGCAGCAGGGCAAGGTGACCATCGCAGAGCTGGTCCAGCCGGCCGTGCGCAGCCAGGTACCCGGCCTCCCGTGGGGCCCTGTCACCTCCGGGGTCAGCAGCTGCAGAGCCCCGGCTGGGGCAGTGTCCTTCTCTGCTCTTGAAACCAAACGGGGTTTCCTGCAGGGGGCGGGGGGTGTCACAGCTTGGGCATTGTGGGGCACCCCCCCAGCTCGCCTCTTTCTGCACCTGTGCCCCTTAGCTCCTGCGTAGAGGTCTGGGCGAGCCCGCTCCTCCCCCCACACACATGGCGGGACAGGATAGAGTCCTGGGCGGAGTCCCCAGAGGCCCAGGCTCAGAAGGAGGCTCACTGAGGGGAGGGGTGAGGTGTGAGTGCAGGGAGGGCTGTGCAGGGGAGAGGCGCAGGACCCACTGTGAGGACAGGAGGGGCCGGGCCACGTCCCCAGCCCCTAGAGTGTGCTGAGACCCAGCGTCCTCTCTGTGGCTGGAGAGAGGGCCTTCCGGGAGGGACCGAGTCCAGCTGCAGGGCGGTGGGTGACATGCCCAGAGGCTGCAGGATGGGCCGCTCAGAGCCCGGGGGCGGGAGAGGACAAGTGGGCTGGGCGCCTGTCGGGAGCCCACCCCAAGGCCAGAACCGGCTCCCTGCGGCCTCCAATGAGGGGAATCCGGTGTGATTAATCACCCCCAGCGAGGACTCCCGGCTGGAGTGCGGTCCCATTGGCTGCCGGTGACATCACCCAGCACGGGGCTGGCAGCTCAGCTGGCTTAAGGGCCGGCTGCGTGCTTGGGGGGCGGGGCACCACTGCTGTCAGAGCAAAAGCCGCCCAACATCTGGCCCCAAGGCTGGGCTGGGGCTGGGGGAGGGCAGGAGGAACCGACCGGGCTTCCAGCTGCTGCCCCTGAACCGATGGGGGGGGGGGACCTCCTGCTGCCCTGGGTCCCTGGGTGCTGCGGAGGGAAGAAGGGCTGTGCAGGCTCAGCCTCCAAGCTCTGACATCGGAGAGCCAGCCCAGGCCACATCCTGTGCCCCCGCCCTGTGCACTAGCTGAGCAGGCAGGTGGAGAGTGCAGGGCTGAGGCCCCAGGGACTCTGTCACACTCACCTCTTCTGCTCCCTGCAGTCCTGGCCCCCGGGGGTGCCCAGGGTGTCCATCCCCTTGCCCGTGTGACAGTGCCTGAGGGTGTGGCTGCACAGGGCAGCACCTGCCTGTGTGGCTGAGGGCGGCTGCACCTGTGCCCCCCCACCCTCGAAGGAGGAGGAGCATGTGAGGTGTGGGAAGGCCCCTGCCAGGTGACAGCTGCCCCTTCCTCTGTTGTTGGTCCCTGTGTGGCCTCCCCTTGGGCCAGCCGGCAGCAGGCTGGGGCGGGGCAGGAGCAGGGCGTCTGTCAGGGGCCGGCAGACCTGACCCTGACCTCTGCCCTCTTGGCCCCCAGGTGGAGGCTGCGGAGCCGCAGGACGTGGTGGTCTACGACCAGAGCACCCGGGACGCCAGCGTGCTGGCCGCAGACAGCTTCCTGTCCATCCTGCTGAGCAAGCTGGACGGCTGCTTCCACAGTGTGGCCATCCTCACAGGTGGGCTGCGCAGGCCCTCCGGCCCTCCCCACCATCAGCCTGGGAAGTGGGGGGGGGTCTCGGTACCTCTTGGCTCCTCAGGGACCCCTTCCATACAGGCACAGCCCCAGCATAGGAGAAAGCCCCAAGAGGCCCGGCGTCCTCTGCCCTGGGGGCCCCCCACTGCCCGGGCTCCCTGTCGGGGGGTCGGGGGGTAGAGCACCACGCTCAGGGAGCCTCAGTCTGCCTCAGAGGGTCCCATGCCCTGAAATCCCTGCAAGCCCCACTGAGCGCAGGTTGCCTAGCAACACCCTGGTGCTCACAGCTGCTGCCTGGGGTCCAGCAGGGCCCCTCAGAGCAACCTGGGCCCCCAGACGGGAGACGGGGACCCCACTCCCCCCATGCACACTCACACACACTCCGGTTCCCTCCTCCTGGTGCAGTGGCTGAGGGCGTTTCCATAGAATCCACCTCCTGGAGGGCCCAGGGCCTAGAGCCGGCCCTGCCCGGGGCAGGGGTCTTTGCTGACGTCCCTGCATCTGGACCTCCGGGTGCTCCGGGCTGGGGTGGGCAGGGCAGAGCATGGAGGACTGAGGCCCCCACTCCCCTCACAGCGGCACAGTGCCCTGAGCCCCCCGCCACCTGCAGAGCAGATGTGGAGGAGGGGGGCCGAGTGGGCAGCCTGGTGGCCCCAGCGCTGGTGTACTGCGGGGAGACAGGGACCTTCACCAGCCTGGGAGGGGCCACAGGGTGTGCAGCCACCTTGGCCATCGGCGCCCAGCCCCGGAGGGTGCCTGGGAGGCTTGGGGGTGGCGGTTCGGCATCTTGTGCGGGACACGGCTACCCTCTCTCTGCGTGTGTCTGGGCAGGAGCCGAGTGTCCCCCGCTTTTGGACTGGCGCAGTCAGGGGGTGTCTGGCTGCGGCCAGCATCTGCCTGTGCGTGTATGTGTCCCGCCACTAGTGTCTGCAGGGCCCCTGAGCCTGCTGGGTGGGATTTGGGACCGTGCGTGAGTGCACTCTCGGAACCAGAGGCCTCAGAGTTTTGCACTCTGGATGCAACCTCTGTCCTCTAGGTTCCATTTGGAGGGAGGGCTGGAGAGCTCTGGGCTTTTTGCAGGTGCCCTGGGCCCGGCTTGCTGTCCGAGTCAGGAACGGGGCCATGAGGCCCTCTGGGAGTCTACGAGGGCCCCAAGTGGCACCTCCCCAGCCCCAGGCTGTGCTGGGGAAAGCCCAGAGCCTTGAAGGGCCTGTCTCCGTGGCAGTGGCCAGGGCTAGGACTGCATGGGAGGCCGGGTCCTCTGCAGCACCTGGTGGGGCAGGCCTGGCCTGGGATTCACCAGGAGGGCTCACGTGGGACGTGGCTGTGCCCTGCCTGGCTGCCTCCCTGTGTCTAGCCTGCGAAGGTGCAGTGTGTGTCTGCCCCCATTTCTCCAAAGGCCAACCCAGGGGGAGTCGTGGCCCCCAGGTGTACAAGAAGCTCACGGTGGCACCAAAAAATGCAGGTGAAATGCCAGGACCCAGCATGCAGGACGGGCCTCTCTGCCTTGCTCACAAGCCCCCCAGGTGGGCACAGCCTCTGCTCTAGGCTGGCTTTGCCCTGAACCTGCAAGAAGGGGAAGGAAAATGTTGAGTAGGGAGGGGGCACACACCTGTGTGCACTCTGGGTTTCGGGGTGAACTGCGGCGCCATCCCTGACCCCCATGGGGGCCTCCTGGGGGATGCGGGGGAGGGGTGCCTCCCCAGGCCCCGAGGACTGCTGGGACCTACCAAGGGTCACTCATGCAGCCCGTCACGTCGCCCACCCCTCAGGGCCTGCCTGGGTGGCCCTGGGATCCCTGGAACCCATAGCAGAGTCGGCAGGGGCACCCGAGCTTCCTGGCTCCGGGGGGGGGGTCCCGGGAAGCATCCTGAGGGACGGCTGCAAAGGTGTCAGGGCTCTCACCTGTCCAGGGGTGTTCCTGCCTTCCCGCCTTGGGGAGGTGGGCAGGGTGCGGAGGGTTCTGATGGCCTTCACCCCAACCACTCTGGCCAGGCCCCGAGAGAGCAGAGCAAAGACCCCTGGAGCGGGTGGGGGGACGGGAGGGGGGCTGAGCCCCAGCAGACATCCGAGAGCCCCTGCCCAGCCTGCTCTCAGGGTAGGCTGTGCACCTGTGCGCCGTGGCAGGGTGATGACAGCAGTCACCTGCTTCTCCCCGTGCAGCCAGCAGCTTCCCAAGGAAGGGATTGCTTCTCCGCCAGGGCTGGTACCTGGACGTGCCCCATCTCTGTGGCCCCCAAGGTCACGCCTTCCTCAGGCCCTGGGAGCTGACATGCAGGCATTCCTTTTTTTTTTTTTTTTTGAGACAGAGCCTTACTCTGTTACCCAGGCTAGAGTGCCATGGCGTCAGCCTAGCTCACAGCAACCTCACACTCCTGGGCTCAAGCGATCCTCCTGCCTCAGCCTCCCGAGTAGCTGGGACTACAGGCATGCGCCACCATGCCCGGCTAATTTTCTCTATCTATTTTTAGTCGGCCAATTAATTTGTTTCTATTTATAGTAGAGACGGGGTCTCGCTTTTGCTCAGGCTGGTCTCCAACTCGTGAGCTCAAACGATCCTCCTGCCTCGGCCTCCCAGAGTGCTAGGGTTGCAGGCATGAGCCACCACGCCCGGGCGACACGCAGGCATTCCGGGTGGGTGTCTGTAGGACCGGCCACTGAGCCGGGCCAGGGATGAAGGTGGAGCCCAGACTCCTGTCTCCGGGAATCACCAGGCAGGGAAGTAGCAGGACCCCGGGCCCAAGACCCACTGCACGTCCTCGTTGCCTCCTGGTGGGAGGAGGTGGCCTGTGTCCAGGCGTCTCCGGTGCTGGGTGGGCCCACGGGGGCCAGAAACAGCAGCCCACTTGCCGTGGGGGCTGCATCCCCAGAGGCATCCTCACCCCTGGGGGTCGCTGAGCAGTTCTCACCCTACGAAGGCAGGCGACCTCAGTTTCTAGTCTGAGTCGGGGCTCAGCCCCGTCTGGCCGGGTGTGGCCAGGTCCACTCTTACTGTGTCCTCGTGGTCGTGGTCATCTCTGAGCCTCACAACAATGCTGATTGGCAGGTAGAACCAGGAAACTGAGGCCAGAGGCGTGGCCAGCCCTGCCCACAGTCGCTGAGTCAGACATGCCTGGGGCTGGGTGGAGGGGCTCTTCCTCGCACCACCGTGTGGCCCAGGACCTGGCTGTGCGGGGAAGGCGGCAGGCGCGTGCCCACTACCAGGGCTCCTCTGCTCCAGTCCTCTCCTGCTGGGCAGGGTGGAGCTGCGACCAACCACAGGTGCCCGGCGGCCGTGCCAGTTCCCCTGGGTGATGTAATACCCGGGGCAGGGGGAGGCCCCCACAGAAGCCCTTGCCTCCCAGAGCTGGCACCCAAGCCTGGGCCCGGGGCCCAGCCAGCAGCAGGCAGGGAGGGTGGAGGAAGGCTGAGCCCAGCCCAGCCCGTGCGAGCCGTGCTGGCTGTTCACCTCTGCCTGTCCTCAGCTGGGTCAGCCCTTCCTCTGCATGAGGAGGGCGTGGGCATTGGTGCAGGCTCAGAGTAGCAGCGAGCACCCCCGAGACCAGGTGCTCAGGCCAGAGGCTCTGCCTGCGCCTGGCTCTGCCGGGTCGGGGCTGAGTATGGCTGGGCCACCGAGGTAGACGGGGCAGCCCCAAGCCCTCTCTCCTGTCCGCCTGACACTCCCCTCCTTGCCTTTCCACAGGGGGCTTTGCCACCTTCTCCTCCTGCTTCCCCGGCCTCTGTGAGGGCCGGCCTGGCACCCTGCTGTCCGTGAGCCTCTCCCAGCCCTGCCTGCCCGCCCCCAGCGTGGGCCTAACCCGCATCCTGCCTCACCTCTACCTGGGCTCTCAGAAGGACGTCCTGGACAAGGTGTGTGCACGGCGGAGGAGGAAGGGGGCCGAAGGCTGGCGGGAGGGGTGTGGTGGGAGGGCTGGGTGTGGGGTGAGCATGGGTGAGGTGGGGGGGACCAAGGCCTCCACCCCCAGGACCATAGCAGGGCTTCGGGAAGGGGCCTGGCAGGGCTGGGTCAGAGTGGTGGCCCCACATGCCACACTGCTGACGTCACTGGCCCCTGGCCAGCTCTGAAAGAATCTGTGCTTTAAAAATGGTGATGGAGGCAGGGTGTGGTGGCTCATGCCTGTAATCCTAGCACTCTGGGAGGCTGATGCAGGCGGATCGTTTGAGCTCAGGAGTTCAAGACCAGCCTGAGCAAGAGTGAGACCCCCGTGCCCACTAAAAAAAAAAAAAATTAGCTGGACAAAAAAAAATATATATATATATGTATATATATATATATAATTAGGCCAGGCGCAGTGGCTCACCTGTAATCCTAGCACTCTGGGAGGCCAAGGTGGGAGGATCGCTCAAGGTCAGGAGTTTGAAACCAGCCTGAGCAAGAGTGAGACCCCCGTCTCTACTAAAAACAGAAAGAAATTAATTGGCCAGCTAAAAATATATAGAAAAAATTAGCCGGGCGTGGTGGCACATGCCTGTAGTCCCAGCTACTCGGGAGGCTGAGGCAGGAGGATTGCTTGAGCCCAGGAGTTGGAGGTTGCTGTGAGCTAGGCTGACACCACAGCACTTTATCCCGGACAACACAGTGAGACTCGGTCTCCAAAAAAAAAAAAATGGTGATGGAAAAGGGTCGAGCCACCGCCAGGCCACCGTATGTCCCTGGGAGCCCACTGCAGGCTTCAGATGGGGCTCCGTCCCCTTCCCAGTGGGGCTCCTGGGCCCAGCTCCTCGAAGCAACCTGGGGACCCCAGGAGCCAGGCTGCACACCGCACCCCAAAGCTCTAAAGTCCTTCCCAGCCGCAGGGGGAACACCCTGCTGCCCCCTGGCGCCCGGCCCTTCCTTCTTCTTCCTGGCCACCCCTTCCAACGTGCCCTCCCCCCCCCCCCGCAGGACCTGATGACCCAGAACGGAATAAGCTACGTTCTCAACGCCAGCAACTCCTGCCCCAAGCCCGACTTCATCTGCGAGAGCCGCTTCATGCGCATCCCCATCAACGACAACTACTGTGAAAAGCTGCTGCCCTGGCTGGACAAGTCCATCGAGTTCATTGGTGAGGCCAGGAGGGGGCAGGTGGAGGGGCCGCTGCCCCCCACCCCAGGGGCAGGCCGGGCCACACCTTCTCAGGTGGGGGAGGGGGTCCTGGGAAGCAGAGGACTGTTGGCAGCAGGGAGGGCGGGGAGGGGCTGAGCCCAGCCCTCACCTGGTCGCTGCTCACCTGGTCACTGCTCACCTGTGCCCAGATAAAGCCAAGCTGTCCAGCTGCCAAGTCATCGTCCACTGTCTGGCCGGCATCTCACGCTCCGCCACCATCGCCATCGCCTACATCATGAAGACCATGGGCATGTCCTCGGACGATGCGTACAGGTACCTCCCCCCACCCTCACCTGCGGTGGCTCAACATCCCCCTCCTCCGTTGTCTACCTGTCCTGGCTGCGCGGGAACAGCCCTAACCTGTAACCTGGGCTGGCCTGGGCCCCTACCCCAGCTTGCGTGCGTCCCCGGTGCGCCCCGCGGGCAGGGCAGAGTCGGTGGGCAGCTGGGCTGGCGGGAAGCACCTCCCCACTGGCGCCCTCTCTCGCCCAGGTTCGTGAAGGACCGGCGCCCGTCCATCTCGCCCAACTTCAACTTCCTGGGCCAGCTGCTGGAGTACGAGCGCAGCCTGAAGCTGCTGGCCGCCCTGCAGGGCGACGCAGGCCCCCACTCGGGGACGCCCGAGGCCCCGCTGCCGCAGCTGCCACCACCTACCTCAGAGAGAGCTGCCACCGGGGGCGCGGCAGCCTCCGCGGCCAGGGACAGCGGCCCCAGCGCCTGCGCGGAGCCCCCCGCGCCCGCCGCGGCGCCCGCCACCAGCGCGCTGCAGCAGGGCCTGCGCGGCCTGCACCTCTCCTCCGATCGCCTCCAGGACACCAACCGCCTCAAGCGCTCCTTCTCCCTGGACATCAAGTCCGCCTACGCCCCAAGCCGTCAGCCGGATGGCCCTGGCGCGCCCGACCCCGGTGAGGCCCCCAAGCTCTGCAAGCTGGACAGCCCGTCCGGGGGCGCGCTGGGCCTGCCCTCGCCCAGCCCGGACAGCCCGGACGCGGCGCCTGAGGCGCGGCCCCGGCCCCGCCGGCGTCCCCGGCCCCCCGCCGGCTCCCCCTCGCGCTCCCCCGCGCATGGCCTCGGCCTGAACTTCGGCGACGCGGCCCGGCAGACTCCGCGGCACGGCCTCTCCGCGCTGTCGGCGCCGGGGCTGCCCGGCCCGGGCCAGCCGGCCGGCCCCGGGGCCTGGGCGCCGCTCGACTCCCCGGGCACGCCGTCGCCCGACGGGCCGTGGTGCTTCAGCCCGGAGGGCGCGCAGGGGGCCAGCGGCTCACGGTTCGCGCCCTTCGGCCGGGCGGGCGCGTCGGGACCCGGCAGCAGCAGCAGCGGCAGCAGCAGCGGGGACCTGCGGCGGCGGGAGGCGGCGCGCGCCGAGCCCCGGGACGCGCGGACGGGCTGGCCCGACGAGCCGGGCCCCGAGACGCAGTTCAAGCGCCGCAGCTGCCAGATGCAGTTCGAGGAGGGCATGGCGGAGGGGCGCGCGCGCGGAGAGGAGCTGGCCGCCCTGGGCAAGCAGGCGAGCTTCTCGGGCAGCGTGGAAGTCATCGAGGTGTCCTGACCCGCGCGCCCCGCCGCCCTGGGCGCCTCGGCTCCGCCGCCAGCGCCCAGGCCGTTATACATATATATTATATATAATGCAAAGAAAGGTAAATGGTTTTACTGCGATTTTTATCGAGAAGTAAATATTTCGATTTTTTTATTTATTTAAGCTGTTCATTCTGGCAATGACTTGGCAACAGTGCCGGGTGGTCCTCGGAGCTCTATTTTTACTGTCTGATATTTAAACTGAAACATGTTTCTAAGCAATATGAGGCCACCTCCGGTCACAAGCCGGGGTGCCGGGTCTGGGGTCCCCTGGCTGACTCCCCCCGGCACCCGGCACCGCACCGGGCACCTGCAGGAAACACTGCTGACCTTTGCAAAGAGGCTGCCGAGCTTTCGGAGCTTTTGTGCACTTTTTACATAAGAAAAAGGGGAAAAAAAAGAAAAAAAAAACTTCTTTGCCACAAACTGAGCCGCAGAACCTCCCTTCCCTCCCCCCCACCCCCTGTCCTCTCGGCCCCTCCCCCTCCTCTGCACCTCCGAACCAAAGCCATAGGTTTGGGGGTGGCCCCGGAGCTGGTGTGCCCTGAGGGGGTACTGCCAGCCCTCCACCAGCTCCAGGACCAAAACCTGGTGGCACGGAGGGTGTCCTCACCACCCGCCGCCCCAGACCTGTTCCTGCTCCCTGCCAGGTGTGGACAGGTGTTTGGCCCAATGAGGCAGGTTTCAGAGGGGCTGGGAGTAGGGCAGAGTGGGGGCTTGGGAAGAGGGCTCTTGAATGTGAGCTGAGGTGGGTCTCCAGGGCGGGGCAGGGTCCAGTTCCTTGGAAAGGCCATTCCTAGGAGGGTGTTTCCCGCCCTCTCCTTGGCAGTGCCCCAGAGCCCCCTGCCGGGCGGGAGGCACTCCCCCCCCAGGAAGGGGCTTGGCCTCTGGGGGTGTCAGGCGGGAGGGCCCTGCTGGCCAGTGCTGGCTCCACTGGTCAGAGGGGAGCTGCCGGCCCAGGGGTTGGAGGGGTGAGATTAGGGCTTGTCCTGGGCTCTTGTGCCCACCCAGCCCCAGCCCCCCCCCCCCGACTTGGAATTCAGGCATCTGCCCACTGAGGGGCCTCCTCCGTGAGCAGGTGCTGCCTTGCTCGGGGAGGCCCTTCCTGGGGTCCTCCCAGGGTCTTGGGGTCCTGCACTTTGGAAGAGCTGTCTCAAGGCAGATAAAGACCCCTTTTCTCCCCCACCACGGGAGCCTCTTAGGAGAGGAACACCCTCCACCCCTTTCCCAGGGCCCTCCCAGCATCGTCAAGGTGACATGCAGGCCCCCACCCCAGGTGGGCCCAGGTATGCCCAGGTGGGCCAGCCTGGGGGTGAGGGCAGGAGAAGAGCCCAGCTACCCCTGCCCCACACCTGCCTGGGTCATGGGGACCCAAGGCTTTGAGGGCAGATGTCCCTTGTCCTTCAGATGTCCCGAGACTAGGAGGGGACCCAGTCACCTTGTGGAGATGCCAGGGCAGGAGGGGCCTGGCAGGAGGGGCCACCCCTGGCTGTTTCTTCTATTTGTTCTTTTGACCCCCAGCCCTCTGTCCCTGTCATTTCTCCTTCTAAGCAAAAGTCCTGTTCCTGTTCCCTCTGTCCCACCCACCCCTGTTCCCAAGAAGATAAGCTATCATTGTTGTATTTGCAATCTATGGATTAGAGGTTTAAGTATTTATTATTGGTTAATTATTATTATTAATTATGTAAATTTGCCTCCTGTCTGTTGCGTTGGGTTTCTGAGGTGACCTGGGTGTGGAGGATGCACTGGCTCCCCCCTCCTAGCCCCCACCCCTATGCTGTCTGGGGGATGGTTTGGGGGCCACTGGTTGGGTCCCAAGACCCCAGATGCAGGTCCCATGGCCCCTCCCCCACCCTTTCTCCAGGGCTGCCAGCATCACTGTGGCTCCTGTCCTGGGGCAGGTGGGGCCCGTGGAGCCCAGCCTCTGTTCTCGCTGGTGAGGCACTGGCCACCCCGGAGGGGGCAGCTGAGATGGGGGACAAGGTCCTGCCCTGGCTGCTGCCTCCTGTGTGTGCAGGGGCAGCCAGGTGAGGGCCTCTCCCAGGTTGCTTCCCCCTCTTTCCAGGTGTGGAGGGCTGGGCTGCTGAGTCCTCAAGCCCCCCGGCCCCTCCCACCCCTGCCTGGCCATTGCTGGGCTTTGGGGTTGCCCCCCAAGGGGCCCGGCTCCTTCCTATTATTTGCTGGGAGGTCCGGCAGAGGAGAGGCGGCAGGTCCCCAGCCGAGCCTCCCCTCTCTGGGGACCGGGCTGCCAGCACCACAGAACCCCTCCCTCAGGGGCCACACTTCCAGGTCCTAGGCCTGTCCCCTCCTTTTGTCTTTGGAAACAATGTGTTGTAATAAATCCTGAGATGGATGTTTTCCCCGGGCCTCTGGCTGCCTGTTTCTTCACACTGTTGTGGGGTGGCCGGAAGGGCTAGTGGGGGGCCGGCGTGGAGGCTCCGTGAGGCTGGAAGGCTGGTGTGCCAGGCCTGGAACCTTGGACCAGACTGACCAGGCCACGGGGGGGGGGGTGTAGGCAGGGCCTTGCATTGGGCCAGGTCTGAGAACTGTCCCAGCGGGACTGGGCGTTGTGGGGAGGCAGGTTCTCAGCTTCACCCCTAGGATGTGAAGCTCCCTTTTCCATGGTTGCATGCTACTAAGAGCAAATAGCTTAAAACTATATATATAATTTTTTTTTTTTTTGAGACAGAGTCTCGCTCTGTTGCCAGGGCTAGAGTGCCGTGGCAACAGCCTAGCTCACAGCAACCTCAGACTCCTGAGCTCAAGTGATCCTCCTGCCTCAGCCTCCCGAGTAGCTGGGACTACAGGCATGTGCCACCACGCCCGGCTGATTTTTTTCTACATATTTTTACTTGTCCAAATTATTTCTTTCTATTTTCAGTAGAGATGGGGTCTCGCTCTTGCTCAGGCTGGTCTCGAACTCCTGAGCTCAAACAATCCTCCTGCCTCGGCCTCCCAGAGTGCTGGGATTACAGGCATGAACCACCGCGCCTGGCCCTTAAATCTATATAAAACACTCAGTTTTGCCCACCACCTTCCCTTCCCCCCACAGTCCCGCTGTGAACATGCCTCTCTGCAGACCTCCATGTGTACACGTGTGTGCATGAGCATGTATGAACAAACCACACGATAGGTTTTCCAGCAACGAGCTTTTCAAATGTCATTCATTGAATGTGTGCACGTGGCACTAGGGTCAGAAACACACCAGGTGTCTGTGGGAGGCACCAACACGGATTCTGCCAGTCACCTGGCTCCACTCCGGAGCCAGCCCTGGCCCGGCCTGCAAACTGGCTGTGCGGAGAACGCCACAGGGTTTCAGCATGGGTGCAGCGCCGAGCATCCTCCTGCTATTCCCACAGGACGGGCTTTTATTTTATTCTATATCTTTGAGACAGAGTCTCACTCTGTTGCCCGGGCTAGAGTGCCGTGGCGTCACCCTAGCTCACAGAAACCTCCAACTCCTGGGCTCAAGCGATCCTCCTGCCTCAGCCTCCCGAGTAGCTGGGACTACAGGCACGTACCACCACGCCCAGCTAATTTTTTTTTTAATGTATTTTTAGTTGGCCAATTAATTTCTTTCTATTTATAGTAGAGACGGGGTCTCGCTCTTGCTCAGGCTGGTTTCGAACTCCTGACCTTGAGCGATCCGCCCGCCTCGGCCTCCCAGAGTGCTGGGATTACAGGCATGAGCCACTGTGCCTGGATAATTTTCTTTTATGTATTTTTAGTTGGCCAATTAATTTATTTCTATTTTTAGTAGAGATGGGGGTCTTGCTCTTGCTCAGGCTGGTCTCGAACTCCTGACCTTGAGCGATCCGCCCGCCTCGGCCTCCCAGAGTGCTGGGATTACAGGCAGGCGTGAGCCACCGCGCCCGGCCAGGATGGGTTTTTAAACATGGCTTTTCTGGGTCATTTCAACATTGGCTTGGTCGTTAGGACAACAGCTTCTGCACACGGAGCGCTCGCCGGGTGACAGCACAACTCCAGGTACTTTCCCGGGGTTTCCAGGCAGGCTCGTGTCCTCAGCCCCACACCCTGCAGTGCTCCGGCTCATGCGGCTTCCCCGAGCTGCAGCCTACCTCTCCCGGGACCCTTCCGAACCATGGCTCCAGCCAGCCCGAGTGTATGCCTGTGTGTGCATGCGTGTGCACACGCATGTGTGCAAGCTGTGCTTCAGGAGACGGGAGGAAGAGGGGAAGGGGGCCTCGCCGGCCCCTCCTGGGGGCTGCGGAGGAGGTAGGGGCCTTGGATCCGGCATCCTTAAGCGTCCTCACAGAGGCTGAAGGCTAGAAGCACGGTCTGACTCCAGCGAGGCTATTTTTAGCTCAAGAACGGCTATTTATAACTCTGGCAGCCCCTAGGAGTCAATAAAACCGGGGACTGGAAAAAGCTGAAGGCTGTCTCAAGCCCCAGCGGCCGCCCCGCCTCCACCCGGCTAATGCTAGTGAGCACCTGCAGCTGCTGGGGGCCAGCGTGGCCTTTCCTGGGCACCTGAGGTCTCGGGCCCTGGGGGCAAGGTAGGACTCTGAATGAGGGGGATCCCTTCACCCCTCAGCTGGGCCCCCCGAGGTCAACTTGAGCAGGAGCCGCACTGGTGGGCAGTGAAGCAGGAGGGGAACACTGAGGGGCTGGCCAGGTGTCACCCCCCCAGGTGACAGTCCTGGGGGGCTGGCCCAGCTGCCACACTGCCACATACCCCTGCCCTATGGGGTCCCCCAAAGGCCTGACGCCTGCTCACGCCTCTGTGTCTCCCTCCCCCCAGGCCAAGAGCTTTAGGCGCCTGATGGGCCGTGGATGGCAGGTGATGGGGGTGGCTGGGTGGGCAGGAGGATGGATGGAGGGTGAGTGGGAGGGCAGAGGGTGGGTAATAAGGTCACGCTGCATCCGTGTGCTTCTGCTAGTCTGCGTCACAATGACGCCGTGTGCCGACAGGCGCACACTCCCGCTGGACTGCAGACTCCACACTCCTGCTGGACTGCAGACAGGCGCCCCAAGAACGTCCGGTGAACACTCCACAAACGAACACAGTCCTGGATTTGGTGCCACGGTGGAGATGCAGCTCAACCCGCTCCGGGGCCAGGGAGAGAAGTGGGCGTGTCCAGTGCTCCCCAGGGGCAAAGCTGGGGCTGGACTTGGTCCCTCAGGTCCCAGGCACCCCTCCTCTGCCCCTCTGGGCAGCCCCTGGGGGAGTCCTGGGGGAGTCCTGGAGGGGCTGGTCCCAGCGGCCCCTCAGGCCTCCTCCAGCTCAGACTGTGCTCCGTGGGTGGATTTATCAGGGTGCTTTTGAGGCTCCGGGGTGCAAGGACTCAGCGGGAGGAAGGGGAAAAGAGGGCCAGTTCCCAGGAAGGCCTGCAGGGGGAGGGAGCGTTTGTGCTTCTGAAGGCCAGGTTGTGTTTGCAGGGCCAGGGCATGCATGGGGCTGCAAAGGTCGTGGGTGGGAGCAGGGGCAGAGGGAGGAGTGCAGAGCTGCCAGCCAGGCAGTGGCTGATGGCCTCCAGCCAGGGCGAGGTCCGAGGGGGCCTGGGTACAGCTCTGAATGGCCGTGGGGGGGTGTTGCTTTCCTGCTGAAAAGTGGGGCCAGGGGACTTGGCCATTAGGGAGAAGCCACAGAGCCCCTGAGGACTCTGAACAGGGAGGTGGGCGTGGGTGTCTCGCTGCTCCAGGAAGGGGGTGTCGGGGCCTATAGACTCTAGGTAGCCAATAACCAGCTGTCAGCTTCTGTACATGCCTGCTTGCTTTTGAGGTGTCGGTGGCCGGTGGGCTGTCCGGCCGTCGCCTGGAGCTGAGGAACGTCTCTCAGGGTGCTCGACTAGGCGAGGTGCTCGACTCCACACCCGGTCGCCCGGCAACGGTGGTCACCAGGCACCCTATGTGGGGCATTCTCGCTGGGGCCTCCAAATGTTATAGTCCGGAGTGCGAGAAAAGACCACCTTAGAAACCGAATCGGGCCAAATTGTGAGTCTTTATTTATTGGCCAGGACTACTTTTCTGTGCCTGCCACTCTGCAGGACGGGAGTAGTCCTGGCCAGTAAATAAAAAGACTCGAAATTTGGCCCAATCCGGTTTCTAAGGTGGTCTTTTCTCGCACTTCGGACTAGAACAGGGGCAGGGCCCTGGGTTGACAGGTGAGTGAGTGGGGGCGGGGGGCCTTGTGTAGCCAGTGTGAACCGTGGGGGAAACACAGTCTTCCCTCCTGCTCAGCGTGAGCTCTGGGTGCCGTCCCTGCAGAGCGATCTCTTCCTCCCTGCCAGGGGGTAGTCAGGGTCTAAGACCACAGTCCCAGGGGCCCCCTCCCGGCCCCTGAGGTGGGGGTGGGGGTCTCCAGATGTAGGGCCACTTAGGGAAGGAGAGGCCATGCCCTGAGGATGTGGTGGTGGCTTTATGGAGGGCACGGTCCCCTGAGGATGGGGACCAGAGCCCAGAGTGGTGTCCCGGTGGGGCTGGGGGCACATGCAGGTAGGTGCCACAGAGCAGAGTGGTGCCAGGCAGGGCAGGCCTTTGCCGAACCCTAAGCAAGGTCCGAGTGAGCCTGCTGGGGCCTTTCCAAACTGAGCAAGGACTTGTGTCGTTTCAGAACCTTCCCGTGTCCCACTCCTGGGGAGTTTCCGGGAGGGGCCAGGGGAGGGGGAGGTCTCAGGGCAGGAGGGTGTCTGGGAGCTGGAGCTGAGTGACAAGACTTCAGTGAGGAGCAGGGTGGGAGGAAGGGAACTTGGTGAGTTGGGAAGGGCTGAGCCAGACTCCTGAAGGCTGGAGGAGGCTGAGGGGCGAGGCCCTGGGGGCATCTCTCCCTGTCTTTGCAAACACCAACCATGAGACTGGAGCAGCCGGAGCTGGAGCTTCCTCAGGCCACTCAGCACTAGGAAGCTCTGGGAGCAGAGGGGAAGGTGCCCCGTACCCCTTCACCAGGCCCTGGCACCAGTCCCGAGTCCCCTCTGCCCGTTCACACACGCCCCGGCAGGGTGCATCCCACACCTGGGGCATCTGACTTGGACCCAGCAGGGCAGGTGACTGCCTGAGAAGGGGGGTGTGCAGGGACACTGATGCAATCCAGGGACACCACTATAAATAGCCAGGGACAGCTTGGAATGGAGCGGGGGCAGGGTGGAGAGGCACGTGGTGGGGGGGGAGTCCTCGAGCCAGCTGGGAGGGCTGGGAGGTGGGTGTGTCTGAGCACCTGCCGCTGGAGGAGGAAAACAGCTTGGTCCGGCCTCCCACCCCCCGCCCCAGCCCTGGGTGGGGTGTGTCCACCCAAGACGTCTAGGTAAGCAGGGAGAAGTCAAGCACTTTGCCGGGTGGGGCCAGGGCAGTGCCTCAGAGTGGACCTCTCGGATGGTCAGCTGCGTGGGCTGGGGAGGAGTGGGGACCT